CTGAGATTAACTTTAATGAACGAAGATGTCTTAGAAAGTTCTCTGATGAATGAAAGGCTACTTGCAGAATAGCATTTTGATAACTGAGATTAACTTTTTTGATGACTCTGAGAATAACTTTGAGGATGCGAGTAAATTTTTGAGTGTTTGAGAGCGTCTTTTTGTTATCTCGAAGAGTAACTTTGGTGTTACGGAGAGCACCTTTGATTATTTTTCTTACTTAACGACATATAATTTTTACGAAAGTGCTGAAAAAGTTACATTTGACTATTTTTCTTACTTAGCGACATATAATTTTAGTTACGAAAGTGTTGAAAAAGTTACATTTGACTCTTTTAGTTGAGGAAAAAGACAAAATATGACGACAGTGACTATTTTAGTGCTCCGCAAAGTATAATGTCAGTTAAGAATGACGATGATAGATATCTTTGACTATATTTTCTTACTTGACTATGGATAAAGTTAGTTATGAACAGCGTTGAAAAGATTCCTTTGACAATTTTTAGCTAAGCGAAAGGCTGTTTTAGTTAAGAACGATGTTGAATGAGGATAATCCTGACTATTTTCAGATGAGAGAAGTGATATTTCAGTTAAGAAATGACAAGGAAACATGATGAAGTAACTATTTTCAGTTGACCGATGAATACTTTTAGTTGAGCAAAAGCCAAAACGTGATGAACATGACTTTTTCTGATGATTGGCAGATAATTTTAGTTATGAAATGACAATGAAACATGAAGAACACGGTTATTTTCTGATGACTAGGGAATAAGTTTAGTTATGAACAGTTTTGGAAAGTTTCCTTTGACAATTTTTTTCTTGATGAAACATAGCGCCTGTTAAGAAAGTGCTGAAAAAAGTTTCCTTTGACAATTTTTAGCTAAGAGAAAGGTTGTTTTAGTTAAGAACAGTGTTGAACGAGGCTATTTCTGACTATTTTTAGTTGACTGGATAATAAGTTTAGTTGAGAAATGACGAAAGTGACTATGTTTTTAGTTGATTGGTGAAAGATTTTTTAGTTAAGGAACGTTAGATAACATGTAAGGGGAAAAACCTAGAGAACATATGGGGAACATGGCAAAGAACATATGTAAGAAAAGTTGATGAATACAGTGAACATGCTGGGAATATGAACTTACAGAGAACATGAAAACATGATAAGGAGAATAGGGATTACAAAGAATGAACAATGGACTTGTGAAGAACATGGAGAATATGACAAAAGAATGTAGAAAACATGTAAGTGAAGGTGAAAAACGAAGTGATCTTGTGAGGAACATGAACTTGTAGAGGAACATGAATATTGACAAAGAACACAAAATATGGAAGTTAGCATGAATATTGAGTATAAAAGTTGTAAAGAGAACATGTGATGAATATGAAAACATAGAAAATATGACTAGAATTTGTAGAGAACATAATGAGACTAAGAGAAAGATTACATAAAAAATGGAGATACTTGTGAAATATGAACTGAATGGGACTGTGAACATTTGAAGAACATGGAGTGAACATGGACAAAATGTGAAGAACACAGCTGAATATAGAGAAAATATGCAAATACAGTATGATTATTGAAGGTTTTGATACGTTGGGGATGAGAAAGTAAGGGAGGGAAAGGGTAAGAGTTAAGCTGGAGACGGACTTGATCGAAAATATTTATGTCTGATGATCTAAGGCTGAGGGAATGGAGCTTGGTTAATGCCCTGATTAATTTTACTACGTTAGAAAATAAGGTGATCTTAAATCTCATGTGATATAGTTGGAAATAAAGAACTTGTACAAAATGAACTAAGCTGGGGCACAAGAGTTGAAACTTGATAACTGAACTGGTTTTTATTTACTATGTCTGAAAATGTAGTTGGGTGATTTGGACTGAGAGTAATGAATTTACAAAAGTGAGCTTGGACAGAGGACAAGAGCTAGAGTTTTATAATTGTTTTCATCATATTTACTATGTCTGAAATACAGAGGGTAAAAATTTCGGGGAAATTGATGGTTTATTTACAAAGACTTGAGGGTGGAAGAGGGTGGGGGACGAGAGCTGGAGCTCAGTAACTGACTTGATCTTATTTACTAACTTTGAAGTATGTCTGCTTTTAATTTTAGGGAAATTGATGGGTTATTTACAAAGATACGAAAGAGAATTAAGGCGGGGACGAGAGCTGGAGCTCGATAACTATTTTGATCTTATTTACGGTGTCTGAAATACAGAGGGTAGAAATTTCAGGGGAATTGATCTGTTACTAACGAAGATACGAGAGAGAGCTAAGGCGGAGGACAAGAGCTGGAGCTTGGTAACTGTTTTGATCTTATTTACGGTGTCTGAAATACAGAGGCTAAAAATCTCAGGGAATTTGGACTGTTACTAATGATTTTGTACAAATGAACTAAGCTGGGGACAAGAGCTAGAGTTTGATAATTGTTTGCATTTACTAAACTATGTCTGAAATACAGAGGGTAGAAATTTCAGGGAAATTGGACTGATACTAACGAAGATACGAGAGAGAGCTAAGGCGGAGGACAAGCGCTGGAGCTTGGTAACTAAATTACTGTATTGAACTACATTTGAAATATGATTATTTTTAAATTTTAGAGGGATTGGAATGATAGTATTCATTATACGACAGGGGACTAAGGTGGGGAACGTGAGCTAGAACTTGCTTACTAACATGATTTATTTGTGTAAAACTGACTTGCTTAATGAAAAGGAGCAAACATACTGACTTGCTTAATGAAAAGGAGCAAACATACGATGTTGGAAAATAGTTGAACTGAATGAAAGGAGAGAGAGAGAGAGAGAGGAGGGACGGTCCAGATATTACGGATAAGATAAGATAAGATTAAGAGCCGACTGGCTGGCTGGCTGGGCGCAAAGTAAATAAAGGTGACGCGACAGATTGCGAGGTAAGGGGGGAGGGAGGGGGGTGTGATGTACGAGACTTGAAAACCATGACTTACACAGGTGATTTTCTAAATTTATATGAATAACTAAGGCTTACATAGACGATTTTGTAAGTTGAAAACATGTAAAATATGTCCGTAGAGTTCTCCTGGAAGCCCTAAAGAGCTACATACGTTACTTGAATTTGTCCCATAAGGCCTTAACAAACTTCTAAGTCTCGGAAATTATTTTCTCATAAGAATTCCATACTTCTAAAATCTGTGACACAAAATTTACCTGAAAACCCTGGCTCACACGCGAGATATTGGAACCTCAAAACCCTGGCTCACAGACACGATATTTCCCAGAAACAAAATATCGTCTTTGAGTCGTACGACTCACAGACGATATCTGGCCGGAAAAAAAAATATCGTCTGTGAGTCGTACGACTCAAAGACGATATCTGGCCGGAAAAAAAAAATATCGTCTGTGAGTCTTACACCCTACTACTAACTCACACCCCAGAAGTGACTCGAACCCATACTCCCAGAAGCAACGCAACTGGTATGTACAAGACGCCTTAATCCACTTGACCATCACGACCGGACAAAATGAGGTGATAGCCGAGGCTATTTGAACCACCCCACCGCCGGCACTCGGATAGTTATCTTGGGCATAGCATTTTACCAAATCACCTCATTCTTTGGGGCACACGTGAGGAACACAAAATATTTTGTGTTCCTCACGTGTGCCCCAAAGAATGAGGTGATTTGGTAAAATGCTATGCCCAAGATAACTATCCGAGTGCCGGCGGTGGGGTGGTTCAAATAGCCTCGGCTATCACCTCATTTTGTCCGGTCGTGATGGTCAAGTGGATTAAGGCGTCTTGTACATACCAGTTGCGTTGCTTCTGGGAGTATGGGTTCGAGTCACTTCTGGGGTGTGAGTTTTCAGTTGCATATGTCCTGGGGACCATTCAGGCTTGTTCGCATATATATATATATATATATATATATATATATATATATATATATATATATATATATATATATATATTGGCATTTATAATAGTTTCTAATTTGCAAGTGAGTTTAAGATACGAATATTGATAATACACAACCTTGAAGATAGGTTCTTATCAAAAGTTTTATATCAATAAATAGAACTAAAATTTGATTAATTTATCCTTTAATCGTGTCTTAAAAACTGCATGTTAACTTAGTTAAATATTGGTGATATTTATTGGAAATAAAAAAGTCAAACTAATGGTTATTCGATTTATATTTTGAGAAACGATGATTCCACAAGCACTAAGTACTTCTTATTACTTTTTATATGTATTAAATAATCTTAATCTTTTTATTCCGAACAATTAGTCATTTATGTCAGTCTTTCCTGTGGATTCCTTTACTCCTAGAATCCACTCAGTTTAACATCTAAACTATTGGGACCGACTAAAGAGCCTACATCTGTATTCTCTTGAGCGCAGGCTGCAGAAATACTTATTAAATTGCACATGGAAAATAGTAAATCGGCTGGTCCCAAACCTGCACACAAATATAACATCACATGAGACCAGAAGACATGGCAGGATGTGCAGAATACCCCCATCGAAAAGCAGAGGTGCAACAGGTACTCTGAGACAGATCTCTATCAACATCAGAGTTCCGAGACTGTTCAACACGCTTCCACTACACATAAGGGGCATAACCGACCTTACAGTGTTCATGAGAGAACTTGACGAACACCTTCAAATGATACCTGATCAATCAGACTGACTCATACGTCAGGCTGCGAGCAGCCGTGTCCAACAGCCTGGTTGACCAGTCCAGCAACCAGGAGGCCTGGTCGACGACCAGGCCGCAGAGTCGCTAAGCCCCGAAATCACCTCAAGGTGACCTCAAGGTAACCTTTCTAATTTTACGGATTTATTGATAAAACTATAATCGGAGGTGTTTAAGTACTAAACCTCAATTGATGTTTGTTGTATAATTCGGGGATCCACACTTCGGCAACAGACATTCGTTACAGCTCGAGTTAAAATTCATAAATCTCTGGTAATTCATTAAAAAATATTCTCATACTCTTGTAATAAAATTTGTACTTCTATTGGCAGGTTAATTACGAGGCCGACCACAACAAGGGCTTTACAGCTGATGTACAGTACTCTGGAGAGGCTCACCATCCCCACCATTACAGACATCCTGTCACCTACAAGTCACAACCTTCGTACCAACACACGCCCTCATACACAACCCCATACCACCCATAAAAACATCTTACCCATTTAAACCTTCAGGATTGTTGTTGCTCATTTGTTAAAAGATTTTACTCACTTGTGGTTTAATGTGAATAAACTCAAGCAAGTTTAAAATTCGTTTGATCATACCTTAATAAATTTGCTAAATTATCAATAATCGGAATCGATTAGGTGAACGTGTCATTTAACACAATAGGACACTATAAAAAGTATATAACTCGTCTACTGTTTATACTTTATAGTGAAAAATCCCAAACGTTATTGAAATTCAGATTATTTATAGAAACAGTGTGGCGGTAAAGATTTTAAGGTAAGAGTAAATATAAGGCAAACACGAGCAAATTATATTAATATTGGAGATAATGATCGTCTCACTATAATCTTGAGGTTATCTTGAGATGATTTCGGGGCTTTATTGTCCACTGTACCTCCACCCCCAGGAAGCAGAACGTGACAGCTGACTAACACCCAGGTACATATTTTACTGCTAGGTAACAGGGGCATAGGGTGAAAGAAACTCTGGCCATTGTTTCTCGCCAGCGCCCGGGATCGAACCCGGGACCACAGGATCACAAGTGCAGCGTGCTATCCGCTTGGCCGACCGGCTTCCCAATGGTATTGTTGTGCTCAGGAGCTTCCAAAGTTAAATTTGCGTAAGTGAACAAGCAACAAAACTTCAAACTATATGTAATAAATTTTAAAACGTTTAGATTTAATATGGTTATTATTCACCTAATTGTTAAATTGAAAACAAATAGTAAGTTCTCGTTGGTCAATTGTCAATTTTCGTGGATACACGAATTATTATCGAGATAAAATAATACGAGACATTCTTACACTATACAAGCACAGAACTGCAGAAAAATTCAGCAAAGTCAAGTATTTACAGTTTCGGAGTTGCCTAACGACAATAATTATTTATCCATAACTTGGCTCCCTGTAATCCCCCCTTCCAAAGTGCTGACGCTCCACTTATCTCCGTCAAGGTCAACCTTCATCACTATATAAAGCTCAACCATCATCCTCTCCACATCACTCGCTCCTCAGCTTTGGTAACTTGTAGACGACATGATCGCTAAGGTAACGTGTTTTAAAGATGTATTTTTTTCTTTTAACCACAATAAACTGCGAAAACGTTCCTAATTGTTGTATCTCTACATAATTTGGGGTTACGAGGGTAAGTAATGACGAGCGTTGTCCTCCTCAGACCAGTGTGTTGCTGGTGGTGGTGGTGATGGTGGGGGAGGCTCTCGCCGACAATTATGATCGCTATGCTCCACCAGGACATTACCCACGCTACGAACAGGTACCTCAAAACTCTCAGGATTATCACAGCACAAACTAGACTAAAACAAATTTCAAATTTATAACACGAAAATATTACATGATGTAATTCCCATAGATTACAAATTTAACACTGGTATACCATAATACACTTCAGGAAGGCATGCCATACAGCTTCCAGTACAGCGTCAAGGACGACTACTCCGGCAATGACTTTGGTCAAAACGAACAGTCTGATGGAGACACTGTCTCAGGCTCCTACACCGTCCAGCTCCCAGACAGCCGCAAACAGACGGTAAGATGATTATTAACTTAATATGGACCCGATGCTCAAAGTTAAAAACGAATGCAAACTTCATAACCCAAAGCACTGTAATTATGTTTTAAGTTGTGATAATATTCAATAAATTCAAATTCAATATTTGCTTAAAGAATAATGATTAATGAATAAAATAGTAAATATCTCAAAAATTTACTTCTGATTTTATTATTATTAAACTAATTCTAAACCTTGCTAAATATCCACTAGGTGAATTACGTTGCCAAGGACGACTACGGGTATCAGGCCGAGGTCAGGTATGAGGGCGAGCCCCAGTACCCCCACGAGTACGGTCCCCCCATCACCTTCAAGCCCCAGTACCAGCCTTCATACTATCCCCAGCCCTCATACCAGCATCAGTCTTCATACAAGCCCCAACCCTCATATTCATCCCAGCCCTCATACCCATCCCAGTCTTCATACAAACCCCAACCCTTATACAAGACCCAGTCGCTATACCCAACCCAGCCCTCATACCCAACGAAGCCTTCATACCAACCCCAGCCCTCATACCCAACGAAGCCTTCATACCAATCCCAGCCCTCATACCCAACAAAGCCTTCATACCAACCCCAGCCCTCATACCCAACAAAGCCTTCATACCCAACGAAGCCTTCATACCAACCCCAGCCCTCATACCCAACAAAGCCTTCATACCAACCCCAGCCCTCATACCCAACAAAGCCTTCATACCAACCCCAGCCCTCATACCCAACAAAGCCTTCATACCAACCCCAGCCCTCATACCCAACAAAGCCTTCATACCAATCCCAGCCCTCATACCCAACAAAGCCTTCATACCAACCCCAGCCCTCATACCCAACAAAGCCTTCATACCCAACGAAGCCTTCATACCAACCCCAGCCCTCATACCCAACAAAGCCTTCATACCAACCCCAGCCCTCATACCCAACAAAGCCTTCATACCAACCCCAGCCCTCATACGCAACAAAGCCTTCATACCAACCCCAGCTCTCATATGAATCTGAGGAATTGTACACATGAAAAGTGCATCGAAGACAGCATATATGAAACTGCTGGAACTTAACATAGACGACTTTCAACCTAGTTCTTCGTGTAAGTTGTTCGAATAAAGTGTTTTAGTAATGACGTCCTTCCATATCCAGAACTCTCTAACTCCCTCGTTATTAACAATGTTCACGTAAGTTCCTTATTCTAGTTTGTTAAAGCCCAGCTCAAGCAGAACACTATGGATTAACTATGTGGAATAGTTATTATTTGAGAAGGGTTGTCTCAAGTTTACCTTCATTAGGAAAAGTAAATACCGAAAGACGTTAAATTGGTTAAGTACATAATCAGTTAACTTTATAATTTACATCATACACAAATCTCGTCGTCGGATTTTCATCTAGAGTTACTGTTTATCTTAGGATCAAACATCGACAAATTAGCAAATTACCAATGAATGAAATGTTTTTCGTAGTATTCCCGGTTCTCAATTTAAATACAGAAATTCTTACATTCACTGAATTTAGAAGTAAAAATTTAATGTGGAAATTGTGGTCATACACCATGGAAAGCAGCAAATTTATTTAATTTACAAGCTGAATTTTAAGAATTATTTTATCATGCTTTTAGTCTCAAAGAAAATAAACACATGAATTACCTTTGCAGCCTACCATAAAAAAAAACACTTAGGAGTCAAATTCAATAACGGGAAATAAACGTTCTCAAAGACATACAATATAATTTTAAATACAATCAATTAATATATATGCAGGCGATGAGTCACAATAACGTGGCTGAAGTATGTTGACCAGACCACACACTAGAAATTGAAGGGACGACGACGGCCTGTCCCTACCTGTCCTCATCACAATCGACTTGAGAATGGTCCAGGACGGACCGAAACGTCGTCGTCCCTTCAATTTCTAGTGTGTGGTCTGGTCATCAAAATTAATATATATATTTGTATTAGAAGACGGAATGTCCGTCCAACGTTGGAGGCCAGATGCTTGGGGCTAGCCTCACCCAAATTGGCAGAGGGAATGGTCTGGGGGTACGTTATGCAGTCCGTCATCCTAAGGTTTCCCAACTTAAAAAAAAAAAACTGTCGTGCTAAAGTGCCCTTATCCTAACCTGCCAGAGGATCCAGAACAGTACGTCAATTTCGCGAGCTGCTACTGTTGTCTATCTTGAGGTAATCTTGAGTTGATTTCGGGGCTTTAGTGTCCCCGCGGCCCGGTCCTTGACCAGGCCTCCACCCCCAGGAAGCAGCCCGTGACAGCTGACTAACATCCAGGTACCTATTTACTGCTAGGTAACAGGGACATTCAGGTTGAAAGAAGCTTTGCCCATTTGTTTCTGCCTCGTGCGGTAATTGAACCCGCGACACAGAATTACGAGTCCTGCGCGCTATCCACCAGGCTACGAGGCCCCTCTAATACATATTCGGAGGTCTAATACAATTCGTGGTCACAGGTAAACTATACGTCAAAATTGAACAATCTATGAGGAGGACGGGTTGCGTTATGAACGCCGGCTGGTCGGGGTCACCATAACTCAAACGAGAACAGCGTGCCAGGGTCACATTCAGCCCCCACCACTAATTTTAGCACTGCCTACCGGCTACAGAGCCAAATATATTCAAAACAAAATTTCATAACTTTTTTATAGTATTATACACCATTATTCAATGATCTCGTGGGAAACCTAACAAATTTCCTGCTGTCATTAATTTGCCTGTACTCCTGTACTCACATAGAGCAAACGATTCTGCTACAGTTTCAATGATGTCTCATGCAAAGCCCCGTTATCTGAGTAGAGGGGTTACTATTCGTTTTTTTTCTAGTTTTCATACCGTTAAGCTCCTCTCACCGGCGACCACCTACACATTAGACAATTATACTTTTAATAAGAGACCGAGATAAACAGACAGAAGACAGATGGATGGATAGATAGACGAGATGGATGATGTACTGATGGATAGATAATAGAAGAGCTGGATGGATAGATGAAGACAGTTGGAGTTGCAGATTATATATATATATATATATATATATATATATATATATATATATATATATATATATATATATATATATATATATACCCTAACCATCGCCCTGGGAACCACATACATTGACCTCTCTGTCGGCCAAACAGAAGCCGCAGAGAGAGACAGAGAAAGATACAAGTCGACCAAGTATAGGGAATTAGATCACCGGCACAACTTCTTTCCAATAGGATCTGAGACCCTAGGTCCATGGGGAGAGTGTGCAAGAAGATTTCTTAAGGATCTTGGTTCCAGGCTCAGTGACACTACAAGATACCCCTAGAGCGTCAGGTTTTCTCTTCCAGCGCCTCAGTGTCGCAATTCAGAGGGGGAATGCTCACTGCGTCCTCGGTTCCTGCCCGACGTCGGAGGAGTTCTACAGCCTCTAGGAAATAAACTTCCCCCTATTTCCTCTTAATGTTCATTTTTTTGTAAAGAATTAGGTATGTAACGGTATAACCTTGTATAATAAAGTGTACAACATAAAAAAAGGGGTGGTAGGAGAAGTGACCACTCATACATATTCAGAGTTAAATGACAAGTTTCTCCCGGAATACTCTGTGTTCCCTTCTTCGAGGCTGTGGGTCCCTACAATTGCACCAGTGGTGGTACCCCTTTATTTACTTATTTATATATATATATATATATATATATATATATATATATATATATATATATATATATATAATGACATTTTCTATATGTAATGACATTTTCAAATAAAGTTAGATAAATATACACACATACCAAAAGAATAGGGGTGGTAGGAGAAGAAAATATCAAAGTGTTCAGTGAGGATCCACAAGGTCTTCTCTGAGTACTCTTTATTTTCTTCTCCGAGGCTATGGGTCCCTACACTTGCACCAGAGGTGGTACCCCTATATATATATATATATATATATATATATATATATATATATATATATATATATATATATATATATATATATATATATGATGTGTTTGTGTGTGGATTGCTTCAAGAATTTGTAATCTTCTTAGATCTTGGGTTTTGTCCATTATACAAGTGTTTTTAGTCAACATTTCTCTAGTTAGGGTGATGTCATGGGCTTGTCTCATGTGATTTCTGGGGGCAACGGATTGAAGATGACAGGTCAAACGCCTCGTCAGCTTGGTCGACGTCATACCTATGTACTTAGATTGAAGGTTACACCCTTCATGGGGAGCAAGTGTACATGTATACAACGTTTGACTGCGGTAAAGGATTCTCCGTCGGCTTCGGGCTGTTTTTGATAAGGAGGTAACTAGTCTTCTTTGTTTTGTAGAATATGACCATGTCTATGTTATGTTCTATGTTCACTGTGAACATGAAAAAGAAGAAAGAATAATGAAAGAAATAATCCGTAAAGGAATAAAAAGCATTACTCCTATCCAAACCATAGATCTTTTCATATTCTACAAAACAAAGAAAACTACCGACCTCCTTATCAAAAACAGCCCGAAGCCGACGGAGAACCCTTTACAGCAGTCAAACGTTGTATACATGTACACCTGCCCCCACGAAGGATGTAACCTTCAAAGTACATAGGTATGACGTCAACCAAGCTCAGGAGGCGTTTGATCTGTCATCTTCAATCCGGTGCCCCCCAGAAATCACATGAGACAAACCCACGACATCACCCCTAACAATAGAAAGGTTGAATAAAAACACTTGAATAATAGACAAAACCCAAGATGTAAGAAGATTACAAATTCTTGAAGCAATCCACATGAAAGTAGAACCTATTTATTATATATATATATTGTCACGGTAAAATTCTAGGAAGAGATTCGGCCTACTCCATTATCTCCTATTCTACTCATTCACGTCTATGTAATCAAGAACTGCAGCCAAGAACAACAACTACTTCCAGACGTCTAGACAGTACTACCAGTCTCCTCCCTTCACGGCCTGTCACCCCACCTCGCACCTGGGTCGCTGGGAGGCCACGCCCTCCCAAACAAGTAGTTCAAGTGAGCCGGTTCATAGTTAAAGAAGACATCAGCGCCCTCTGGCCGGCCGATATTCTGTATAAATAGGGCTACCAAACTCTCCCAGATTCAGATTACTCCTGTGTGCTCAACTGAGTAGACCCGTTGACACATCTCTGTGTAGTAGCGGATTTAGTCAGACTAGCTAACAGCATTCTCCGCCATATATTACTTTTTCACCTTAACGTAACGTAAATTTGATTGTTCATCTTGTTTGTTTTGCACACTTTGTATTAAAGCCAAGCCTGGATATTATTTTATGTTTTGCAAGTTGTCTAACTTCAGTTTTTGTTTTAAAGTAAAGTATTTTTAAATGTTTTTTCCCTCTGTTTTATCCTACCGTTTGCCTCACTGTGAATACACCCTCTGCAGTTTAACTTTTTTTTTTTAATATTTTGTGACTGGCATTACAGAGAGCACGACCACCACCGTTTACCGTCACAATATATATCAAAGAAATCACAGTGTGATATATCAATGGAAATTATTTTGAAGCAATGGAGTGACTCGAACCCACATAGTGGAGAGTCCCAGACACCTGCCATAACAAAATTGTCAATGATGGTATAAAAGTCGACCACCCCAATAAGCATGCCACCTCGGTAATTATTTTCAGTGTTTTTCGATATAACATCATAATTGATACCAGCTATAAGCTATAAAAATTATATGACAAAGTAACTTATGTCATATCATTTATAATGAACGATTAATATAATTAGAATTGCATCCATTATTATTTTTTGCAGTTATTTCAGTATTATATCATAGCGGATTATATAGTTTTTATACATTCATAATTCTCACCGCCAATGTATTTGCTTTGCATAAATTAATAATCTACTTCAATTTTTAAATTCGGTCCAAAAATTTACAAATAAAATGTTTTGTTATTTTTAAATGCGGATATTTACGTTTTATATGTGCTTTATATTTTTTCTTCCAGTTTTTTGCATATAAACTATTGTTTTATTATCTAATCTTATTAGCTTATTTTTCTAAAATTTATAACAACAACTTTGACCTAAGAGAAGGCAATGGGAGATGCATGTCTGACAAGCAATTTTCCAGAATTGGTTTCTGAGAAAACAGTTCTTTACAGATATGGTTAATTAAATGTTCTCCTGAGATGAGATTCATTAAATGTTCGATTGAGGTAAGACAATTTAAATGTTTCATTGAAGTAAGGCCCATTTTGATATTGCCACACTGACCAAGAGTTTTCTCCTGATATGCAACTCAGTTTGCTCCTCAAATACTACTGATGTTGATAATTTTCAAATTGAATAGCTGAACACGTCGTTCATGAACCTGGCTAATGGAATATTGATTGTAAAGCTTTTTGCCAACCTTACATAGACTGCAAGACAACATAGAAAACCCAATTTTTCGAATAAAAGAACACAAAATTTTAAAACAGGAAATACAAGTTCACTAAAATAGAAAGCTCAAGTTCTCTATTATACTGACTCGTTTTGCTTAAATTCTTGGTCATTTGCATGACTGGACTCCGGCGTCAGACCAGTTAGCTTCCAATTAAAATAACAAGCACACGAGACTGATACCTCGCACGCACACTATAACACTGCACACTATAAATGTATGCACAAACTAACATTATTAAATTCAATGTTATTTTGAATGTAAAATTATAAATTCTTATTATTAGTGCGATTACCATGTATCAATGATTTTCAAAATTATCATAGGTTTACTTTAGATGTTATTCAAAGATAAAAATTAAACTGCAAAATATTAATAAATACTATCATTAATGAAAAAATAATATCCTTAGGATAATTTTTTTATTAATGTAGGGAACTATTAATTCAGGAAAATCAAGAAGTTTACAGAACTTTTACAATATTAAAGCTGAACGTAAATTCATTACAAACTTTCACAGACTTGGAACATAAATATTACTGGACGACAGTCCATCTCTCTCCATAGCTTGGCTCCCTGCAGTCCTCCTCCCACAGTGCCGACCCCCCACTTACCTCCGTCAAGGTCGACCTTCACCATCACTATATATAGTTATACCATCATCCTCTCCACATCACTCACTCCTCCGCCTCTACAACAGTAGTCAACATGGTCGTTACGGTATGTCTCTCCAAGTTGAATGTGTGTAGTTTAAACATTACTAACATGCTAAAATCGTTCTTTATTGGCGAATCTCTAAATAATCCTGGGTCATGAGGTTAAGTAATTGTGTGTTGTGGTCCTCAGCCCAGTGTGTTATTGGTGGTGGTGGTGATGGTGGGGGAGGCTCTCGCCGACGATTATGATCGCTACGCTCCACCAGGACATCACCCACGCTACGAACAGGTACCTCAAAACTCTCAGGCTTATCACAACACAAAACTCAACTATAATAACGTCACAAAATGTAAATACAAAACGAAAAGAATTATGCCAAAAGAGCCTCAAAAAGTTATCACTGGTATACCATTATATACTTCAGGAGGGCATGCCATACAACTTCCAGTACGGCGTCAAGGACGACTACTCCGGCAATGACTTTGGGCAAAACGAACAGTCCGACGGAGACACTGTTTCAGGCTCCTACACCGTCCAGCTTCCAGACGGCCGCAAACAGACGGTAAGATAACAATTTTGATGTGGAAAAATGATCATATTACTTTAAGCAAGGTAATTACATTATCAAATATGTAATTATGTTTCAGTTTGTGAAATAATTCTGCAAATCCCTAATTAGTTTAATAATTTTCATGAAACTAATAATATGCTTCTAAGAAATAATTTCTATTAGTATTTGAGTAAATTCTCACTAATAATACTTATCTAATGCAACAGGTAAATTATGTTGCCGAGGACGACGACGGGTATAAGGCTGAGGTCAGGTATGAGGGTGAAGCCCAGTACCCCCACGAGTATGGACCAGCAATAACATTTAAACCCCAATACCAGCCCTCATATTACCCCCAGCCATTGTATCAGCCCTCATACCAGCCCCAGCCCTCATACAAGCCCCAACCCTCATACAAGCCCCAACCCTCATACAAGCCCCAACCCTCATACAAGCCCCAACCCTCATACGAGCCCCAACCCTCATACGAGTCTGAGGAATCTTACCCATGAAAATTGTGGGATAGGCAGCAGTAATGATAACTATTGGAAGCTTGCAATCTAGTTTTCCAAGTAAGTTGTATAAATAAAGCCATGGATAAATGAAAGTCTTTAATGTACCGACATCACCAATATCTAATTTCTAACAAAATTCACATAATTATCTTTATAAATGTTGCTATTCAACCAACCTGTCCTACGAAGAACGTTGCTTTTCGCTCATTTGCGTTATATAAGGCCAAAAATTGTCGTACTAGAAAATGGAAGCGGCTCTCGAAAGTGACATACTGTCCCGTTTTCTGTTTTGGGTCCTCTGGTAGGCTAGGGAAGGACCCTTTAAATTTACCGTTTTCTTGACGTTGGGAAACCTTAGAAGGACGAACTGATTAAACACAATACATAATACACACACACAAATCACACTAACGTGAATTACATATAAATGAAATTTTCTCAACAATACATAATATTAACTTGACGCAGCAAATATTTTATGAACAAGGTGAAGCAATGACCTTTACATGGCAAATACAACGAAATATGATCAATGGGTTGAGTACATAAACAAAACGGCATAAATTTATGTCCATAAAACCCTAGTCATCTAAAGCTCCTTCATGGCTGCATGAAGGAGATATCTTAACATTTCACTTCCGCCTCCTGGAAAGTGGATGATTCTCACTAAACAAACCATAAACATTTAGGGAGAGTTTCGTCGTAGTAGACGTTCATAATTAGTTTATTAAAAACTCTTACATCTCCAGTATTTCCTTCTAGTTGGTAAGCAGAAACAGTAATTATAAGAGCCACAACGAATGTAGTGTATTATGTGATGCTTCAGAATTATGTTCCATCTTATTCTAGAAGTAAATACTAAAATTTGAATTACCTGTAACTAATTAAATTTTTCACAAAAGTTCCTTGTCCAAATATCTTGGTCTGCTGGTAGGACCAAGAGGCAGGTTCTTTTACCTATGGCTACCTGATTGGAGGAACTGCAAAACATCACTTAAACCCTCATAAACCCCAGCGACAGATATTTGTACTCGAGCACTACCAGGTTTCAAAGCCTAGTCTTAGGTTACATGTTCAAGGCAGTTCGGTTGATTCGTCCGGTGAGATGCGCCAGGTTGTACCTGCCCCAAAATACCCCGAACGCATTCTCTCTCACATGAGAAAATGACAGTGGGTTCCATCTAACTGCAGAATAACGAGCGGCAAGAGGCGTTACTGACATTAAAGGACCCTGAGGGACAAGCCCTGGTCTGGCTCAGCTCTGATCTTTGCAGCCTCAGACATGGGAGACGAACTTTTTCAACTTCGTTGATGTTATCAACTTGATGCGTACCATCTTTCCACAAATCGATCACTTCCCGGACACGCTTCATCAGTGGAATTTCGCTTATGCCATTCAGGCCCCTGCAAATGCTTTAAGCACCTCCGGCAAGGAGCAGCAAGAGTCTGACTCCGTACATCTTGACTGTACAACAATTGCACTGGACAAGGTACCTTGGACCACAGGCTTCTGCAACAGCATCGCCGTCATATCCGGTTTGTGAGCGGACTGTTGAGACAAATTAGCTATCAGGTACTGCAGGAGTCACATATATAGATATCGGGGAACTCCGCAAGCTAGACATGCTAGCTTTAAGAGCGGATCAGAGTGCAAGCGTTATTTCACACCAGGGATCCTTCAACAATGGGGAAACGAGTACAGAGTTTGTGGTACCAGTTCCTTTATAAAAAAAAGTGGTAGCCGATGGCTATATCGTTGACCATAAATGGTCTGGTGGTTAAATATTTCCTATCCGAAAACTTTGTCAGGTGACACCATAAAAAACTTCAGACCAGCTAGCTTCTTAATTTTCAATTTAAATGACGTAAATTTTGAGTAGTACATTCCTCGTGTGTCTAATATTTCGAGAATCAGTGTCGCTGAAAAGGCACATGGCTATGAAAGAAAACTAGTTACGGGTATTTCAAGTCTTTATATTTATTATATTTTTACTTAAAGATCAAGATGGAACAATAATTCTGAAACGTCACCTACTTGTCAACCTGTGGATCAATGTCTCCGCGGCCCAGTCCCTGACCATCCCGCCTGGTTGCTGGTCTGCTCAACCAGCCAATAAAACAAACTGTTCGTGGTTTGGGTTTATTAATCAACCACCAAGAATACTTAGGCTTACTTACCAATCACCAAGAATACTTGGGCATACTGACCAACCACCAAGAATTCTTCAGCCCTAAACACAGTCCAGGGCCGAAGTATATATTAAAGTGTATATACACCGAGAAGTGGGGATACACTTTTCGGTGTAAATATACTTGTGAACTCTTCTTCAAAGCCTTCTTTCCTACCACTACTGTTTTTGCTCACCAAGTAGAATGGGTAAACGGAAGTTATCATTTGCTTTTGAAATTGCATAATTGTGTTGTACATGAGAAATCCATCTTAACTCAGCCCATCCTCCTGTTTAGGTAGAACTTGTAGTAACGATGAGGACCAACGTACATATATTGACGTAAAAGACAATTAGAAAGCAGAAATCGGTACTATTGAATTTGGACAAACCTAAAAGGTTTTGTATTGATGTTGCAAAAAAAACCTAACTTAACCTAATCTAACCTTCCTAAGCATAATACACACTATCTGAAGCCTAAATATAATATATATGTGGGCTGTACTAGGCCTAGGAATATTTATATTTTGTTTTTAGCTTATTTTTTTAATATATGAATAGTACCAAATTCTACTAATTGTTCATTACGTATATGTACGATGGTCTACAAAGTTACAAAAGGTACTATCTAAACAGGAGGATGGATTGACTTAACCCACCTTAAATGTTTATAATTGATTCACTTTGAATCAGTAGATTTCCATGAAACGTTAAAGTAAAAGGGACTTTTTATAAGATGTTCTGTTTGCACTAGGAACACGCTTCAGATGACCGACTCTAGGCTATAAATATTGTTAAATAAATGTAAACTGCTTTATTTATGTACTCGACCCGTGTCTCGTATTTTACTATTTCATTTGACATATTAAGTTTAACATCTGATTATTCTTCTCGTAAAATAACTGCTACACGAAGCTAGCGTCACATTCTGGGTGTTTAGCTGCAACACGTTACAATATAAAAGGAACTATTTACATGAATATTGTTCGCATTGGGATATTGGTGTTTGTTATTCATAAAAGATTTTCATTTATATTTCACTTTATTTAAACAACTTACACGGAAAACTAACTTTTAAGCTTCCCATAGTTATCATTAATGTTGCCTATGCCTCAATTTTCATGGGTAAGATTCCTCAGACTCGTACGAGGGCTGGGGCTTGTACGAGGGCTGGGGCTTGTACGAGGGCTGGGGTTTGTACGAGGGCTGGGGCTTGTACGAGGGCTGTGGCTGGTACGAGGGCTGAGGCTGGTACGAGGGCTGGGGCTGGTACGAGGGCTGGGGCTGGTATGAGGGCTGGGGGTAATATGAGGGCTGGTACTGGGGTTTAAATGTGATTGCTGGACCATACTCGTGGGGGTACTGGGCTTCTCCCTCATACCTGACCTCTGCCTTATACCCGTCGTCGTCCTCGGCAACATAATTTACCTGTTGCATTACGTGAGTATTATTAGCGAAAATTTAATGAAATACTATTACAAATTTATTTCTGGAATGTAAATTATTGGTTTCATGATAAATGCTAAACTAATAATGGATTTGCAGGATAATTTCACAAACTGAAACATAATTAGTTCATATTTTATAATGTAATTACCGTACTTACTGTAATATGATCATCTTTCCATATCAAGATCATTATCTTACCGTCTGTTTGCGGCCGTCTGGGAGCTGGACGGTGTAGGAGCCTGAGACAGTGTCTCCGTCGGACTGTTCATTTTGGTCAAAGTCATTGCCGGAGTAGTCGTCCTTGACGCCGTACTGGAAGTTGTATGGCATGCCCTCCTGAAGTGTAATGTTATATACCAGTGTTAAACTCTAGAGGATATTTTGGTATAATCCTTTAAATTGTGCATATATATTTTGTGATATACATTATTATAGTCTAGTTTTGTGTTTTCAGTTTTTGAGGTACCTGTTCGTAGCGTGGGTTATGTCCTGGTGGAGCGTAGCGATCATAATCGTCTGCGAGAGCCTCCCCCACCATCACCACCACCACCACCAGTAACACACTGGGCTGAGGACAACACTTATTTTTAAGTACCCGAAGTTATATAGAGGTAGAGCAATAAGCTTCCACGATGTTAAGATATTTGTGATATTTAGTAAAGTTGAACGTGAAGACACAATACCTTCGCTATCATGTTGACTGCTTGTTGTAGAAGCGGAGAAGTGAGTGATGTGGAGAAGATGCTGGTAAAGCTTTATATAGTGATGGTGAAGGTCGACCTTGACGGAAGTAAGTGGGGGTTCGGCAACTGTGGGAGGAGGACCACAGGGAACCAAGCTATGGGATAATTACTTAGTGGCGATAGGCAGCACCAAAGCTTCAAGTAAATGTTCGTTTTTGTTAAATTTTGGTTTATATTTAACCCGTGTTCATCCTCAGTTTGTATTAATAAAGACGACAGGTGAAATTCATGCTTTTGGCATTAAAGCTTTCGCTCAATTCTGATATTTATTTTACAGTTTCTGAACTAGTTTACTTCCTCACAATTTAATTCTGTTGTATATGAAATTAATCTAATTATTTACTCAGATTCTTCCTTCATACCTAAACTCTATACGGAGATTTTAATTCTACTACATTAAATAAAGATCTCAAATTGTCATTAAACTTCGACAACATTGGCCTTGTTCGAATAGCCTTCACGAACTTTGGAAACGCGCATTCGAATTGTGTTCAACAGTTCCCAGCCTCTCTTATCCTGCCGTGTCATCCTACAGTACCCGGTCTTCTTATCCTGCCGTGTCATCCTACGGTACCCGGTCTTCTTATCCTGCCGTGTCATCCTACAGTACCCGGTCTTCTTATCCTGCCGTGTCATCCTTCGGTACCCGGCCCTCTTAACCTGCCGTGTCATCCTACGGTACCCGGCCCTCTTAACCTGCCGTGCCATCCTACAGTACCCGGCCCTCTTAACCTGCCGTGCCATCCTACAGTACCCGGCCCTCTTAACCTGCCGTGCCATCCTACAGTACCCAGCCCTCTTAACCTGCCGTGCCATCCTACAGTACCCGGCCCTCTTAACCTGCCGTGCCATCCTACAGTACCCGGCCCTCTTAACCTGCCGTGCCATCCTACAGTACCCAGCCCTCTTAACCTGCCGTGCCATCCTACAGTACCCGGCCCTCTTAACCTGCCGTGCCATCCTACAGTACCCGGCCCTCTTAACCTGCCGTGCCATCCCTCCATACTCGGCCCTCTTACCCTGTCAGTATTACAAATGGGGTACATGTATATATGGGATATTGGGAAAAGTAAATGGAGCATGCAAACATAATAATACAACAAATTGTAAAAATATTCTTAACAGATGTTTGCAACTTTTGGAATATTTAAGTAAGAATGTTTTGACAAGAGTCTGCCTAGCTTTTCGAAAACTAGGAACCAGGCGAATAAATTAAAACACGGCTATTACGAAAACAGCCACAACACAGCATATCATGGACATTTTTTTAACAAGAGAAAGACAAGAAGAAATAATAATAATATCAGAACTCTACCACCAACTCGGTCAAATGTTTAATAGCAAAGAAACACAATGGTACCCAACCAGTACCACAGATATTAGCGCCAAGTAAAACACAGGCTACAGGGTGAGGTCAGCCTGTACATCAAAGACACACACATCTGCACTGAGCTGCTAAACATCACAAACGATATGGTGGAAGTGCTGATAATTATAGAAATTCTGAATGTGGTTATTGTCTTTGTATACAAGACACCGGAGGCAAATACTCAGCTCTTCAAAGACCAACTAATGAAAACAGAGTACTGCTTAGAAAACCTCACAACCCCTACCCTAAACATCATCTTGCTTGGGGACTTCAGCCTGCTACGGCACTAAAATATTGCCGCTGCATATATAGTTAAATGAGAGAGAATCCCAGGAAGCCTTCTAAATGAAGTCACACACAAATGATTTCTAATGTATATGAAAGATTTGCATTAAACCAACAAACAGTAGAATCAACTAGAAAATAAAACACCCATGACCTATTTTCACAATGATAACTTGGTCAGGAAAATAATGATTACAAATACCTGTTATTCAGATCACAACCTATTCGAAGTTCAAACGAGAATGGGCAGGAAAACCTTCGCAGCCTCTCTCTCAAATCCAAGAGGAGAATTCAACAGTCTATTTTAATGATAAAAAGATTAATTGAAAACTAATAAACCAACACCCCATAGAAATATACTGGGAAGGACATTTAGAGGCCTGATCACCAAGACTAGGAGGCCTAGTCACCAAGACCAGGAGGCCTGGTCAGAGGCCGGGTTGCGGGGATTGTGATCCTTGAAACCAATGAAAGGTAACCTAAAGGTAAGGTGCTTCCCTACAGTACCCAAGCCTCTCACTTGGCCGTGCCCTCTGCCACAGACCAGTTCTCTTGCAGAACAACCTGTGTTCCAGCTCATGTGACACTGTTAAAAGAAGTTTCCAAAGTTGAAGATTTGTGAATCAGAACCAACGATATCTATATATAAAGACGCGTGTTGATTATCTATATTTTATATAATATATCATATTCTCCTCCTTCGTATAGTGTCTGGGTATGAATAAAGAATCTGAGCAAATAATGTGATGCATCTCATATGGAACAGAATTAAATTGTGAGAAAGTGTGTTGAGAAACAGTAAAATAAATGTTAGACTTGAGTGAAATATTAAGTGACAAAAGCATTATTTTCACCTGTGTCACTATCAATACAAGCTAAGGATGAACACAGGTTAAAAATGAAGATAAATTTAACAAACGGAAAAATACTTGAAGCTTTGGTGTTGCCTAAAACCAATAAATAATTCTCTCTCCATAGCTTGCTCCCTGTGGTCCTCCTCCCACAGTGCCGACCCCTCCACTTATCTCTGTCAAGGTCGACCTTCACTATCACTATATAAGCTTTACCAACATCCTCTCCACATCACTCACTCCTTCGCCTCTACAACAAGTAGTCAACATGATCGCGAAGGTAAAGCGTTTTATGTTCAACTTTATATAAAAATATTGTGTTAACATCGTGGAAGTTTACTGCAATATATCAATATAATCCTGGATCACCAAGTAATGGTGAGTGTTGTGGTCCTCAGCCCAGTGTGTTACTGGTGGTGGTGATGGTGATGATGGGGGAGGCTCTCGCTGACGATTATGATCGCTACGCTCCACCAGGACATCACCCACGCTACGAACAGGTACCTGAAATCTCATCTATAATAATGTATATCACAAAATATATATGCATAGTTTAAAGAATTATACCAAAATATCTTCTAGAATTTAACGCTGGTGCACAACATTACACTTCAGGAGGGCATGCCATACAACTTCCAGTACGGCGTCAAGGACGACTACTCCGGCAATGACTTTGACCAAAACGAACAGTCCGACGGAGACACTGTCTCAGGCTCGTACACCGTCCAGCTCCCAGACGGCCGCAAACAGACGGTAAGATAACGATCTTGATATGGAAAGATGATCATATTACAGTAAGTACGGTAATTACATTATAAAATATGAAGTAATTATGTTTCAGTTTGTGAAATTATCCTGCAAATCTATTATTAGTTTAGCATTTATCATCAAACCAATAATTTACATTCCAGAAATAAATTTGTAATAGTATTTCATTAAATTTTCGCTAATAATACTCACGTAATGCAACAGGTAAATTATGTTGCCGAGGACGACGACGGGTATAAGGCTGAGGTCAGTTATGAGGGAGAAGCCCAGTACCCCCACGAGTATGGTCCAGCAATCACATTTAAACCCCAGTACCAGCCCTCATATTACCCCCAGCCCTCATACAAACCCCAGCCCTCGTACAAACCCCTGCCCTCGTACCAGCCCCAGCCTTCATACAAGCCCCAGTCCTCGTACCAGCCCCAGCCCTCGTACCAGCTCCAGCCCTCGTACCAGCCCCAGCCCTCGTACCAGCCCCAGCCCTCGTACCAGCCCCAGCCCTCGTACAAGCCCCAGCCCTCGTACAAGCCCCAGCCCTCGTACCAGCCCCAGCCCTCGTACAAGCCCCAGCCCTCGTACAAGCCCCAGCCCTCGTACCAGCCCCAGCCCTCGTACAAGCCCCAGCCCTCGTACAAGCCCCAGCCCTCGTACCAGCCCCAGCCCTCGTACAAGCCCCAGCCCTCGTACAAGCCCCAGCCCTCGTACAAGCCCCAGCCCTCGTACAAGCCCCAGCCCTCTTACGAGTCTGACGAATCTTACCCGTGATAACTGTGGGATAGGCAGCAGTAATGATAACTACTGGAAGCTTGTAATCAAGTTTTCCATGTAAGTTGTGTAAATAAAATTATAGAGAAATGAAAGTCTTTAATGTACCGACTTCACCAATTTGTCATTACTAAAAATTGATGTAATTTTATTTTATATATGTTGCTATTCAGCACTATACATAAAATCAATATTGACGCAGCAAATATTTTTTTCAACAAGGTCATTCATTGACCTTTACATTGCAAATGCCTCAAAATATGATAAATGGGTTGAGTATATAAAAAAAAACGGCATAAATTTATGTACAGAAAACACCCGTATCTAATAAGCTCCTTCAGTTCAGCACCCAGGAGGCCTGGTCGACGACCGGGCCGCGGGGACACTAAGCCCCGGAAGCACCTCAAGGTAACCTCAAGGTAACCTTCATGAGAGCATGAAGGCGGTATTAACATTTCAACGGTCATTTTAACGGTCTTGACATTTCACTTCCGCCTCCTGGAAAGTAGCCGATTCCAACTAAATCACAAACGTCAGCCCATCCTCTTGTTTTGGTAGTACTTACAGGAAGGATGAGCACCATAGTACATATACAGACGTACAACGCAATTAAAAAGTAGAAATCTGCACTATTGAATTCGGACAAGTCGGAAAAATATTTTCTGCTTATGTTGCAAAGACTAACTAAACTAAAGAAACCTAACCTTCCTAGGCCTAATACCACGCTATATGAGGCCTAATGCAATAGATGTGTGTTCTATACTAGGCCTAGGAATATTTAAGTATGGTTTTTGGCTTAATTTTTCGGACTCTTGTGAAGTGAATAGTACAAAGTTCTACTAATTGCTTAGTACATCAATATTTATACTATTGTGCACATAGTTACAAAAGGTACTATCTAAACAAGAGGACGGGTTGCAAACGATTAGGGCGAGTTTCGTCGTATTCCTGGTACATAACATAATTAAGCTGTTATGTTAAATAATGTTAAAAAAACATACATCTCCCGTCTTCTACTGCATCTTGGTTTAACTGGAAGAGGATCTCTCCAAATGTCATTTTTGTTCAAGGTAAACTAAAAGAACAAAACTAACTGTATAACGTGTTATACTTATTTTATTTACACAACGTTTCGTACCTACAAGGTTAAGTCTCAAGTGAGGACTGACATAATATGAGGAAACATCTTATTTATAACACTGGGAGGTCGGGTACATGGGTAATTATGTCACGAGAAAGGCAAAAGAAACAGAATTGAGATAGAGTTGATGGGTCAATGAACTACGCATAAAAAGGTAAGTCAAGTCATAGGGTATGGAATCTCAGATGACCGTAGTGGACATGGCATTTTGGACATTGAAGTCATCATTGGCATTTTCGCGTTCTGGTCTTGTCTTCACTCTCATGGTGGGTAGAGTGAATAGTTTCGTTATTTACGTATTTATGGTAGGTTGTTCGACTTGTATGCGTCGAGCTTCAAGAATTTGTAATTATCTTGTATATTGGGCTTTATCTAATATGCAGGGGTTTTTATTCAGCATTTGTCTTGTTAAGGTGATGTCATGGGCTTGTCTCATGTAATTTGTATGGGCAGCTGATTGAAGATGACAGGTTAAACGCCTCATCAGCTTGCTCGACGTCATACATATGTACGTAGATTGAAGGTTACATCCTTCGTGAGGGGTGGAAAGGGGGGGGGGGGGCAGGGGAACACATGATACCACATTCGACTCCTGTAAAGGATTCTCGGTTGGTTTCGGGCCGTTTTTAATGAAGGGGATAGTGGTATTCTCTCTAGTACATGTTTATGTTTTGGTCAAGAGTTGTGCTTTTTATTCCCGTACGGATTATTTCTCTCATTATTCTTTCCTTTTTTAAGTTAACTGTGCATGGTGGATTTGTAATGTAATTTTAGTGACGTTGTGGTTTCTATTCTTGGTTCAGAATTGTGTCACTTGCTTAGCTAAATGAACTATGAGGTTCAGTGTCTGAACCCATTATGTGCCTCTTAACCTTTTCTACCACCGCCCACGGGATGGTTATGGGATGCATAATAAATGACTGAACAGAATAGTTTATATTAGTTTCAATAATTAGATGATGCTTCTGAATCCTTATTCCATCTTGGCAAATGGTTTGGCATCTTGGTTTCGAAACATACAACTTTGAATTACTTGAAAATAGTTTTCTTTTTAGACAAGTTCCATTTCCTCTGTTATCAGATATTTCTGGTCACTGGTACAACCATCTTCATTACAAACCTCAGATGACTAAGTTTGCTCCCTCGGAGGGAGCAAGAGGCAGTTACCTTCTACAGCTAAAACAGGGATCGCAGACCATCACTAAACTCCTCCTCAAACCCCAATGACAGAAATTAGTACCACAGCACTACCAGACTTCAAAGCCTCGTCTTGGGGTTAAATATACAAGACTTAATTGGTTATGTTTGACAGATACAATGGACTTTCTCAGTGGGACTTTCTCAGTGGTGCCCTCAGACGCAGTTTCTATAACATCTGGAACTGGCGGTGAGCTAGGAATACCCCCTATACCCAACGCTCTCTTACTCTAGGGGTACGCTTCCAGCCGGACGCAAAGAGTCGAAAAATGAAAATATAAACAATTGAATAGCCCTAAAAATATTCCAGTAATCTGGCAAGACTTTCCATAAAAAATGAGGGTAATCTGACGATTATAAGTATATTACTTATCAGTTGTAAACAAAAACTTAATAAACTATGCCCCTCCCTCGGGGGTCAAATACATGAACATAGTTTTCAATATAAAATACTTGGCTTCTTTTACTTGTTTATTATTACGTTCAGTGGAAACCGCCGTGACCTGAGGTGTGCATACACCGGCAGCTGGTATTATTTTTATTATTAGCATTTTCTACCACAGACGTGGCCACACATTTACAATACTAACCATCATATATACATTTTTTCTTCTGTCCTCCATGGACAGGGTTAGAGATCTGTTAAACATATAGTTCAGTGATTTATTGAAATGGCAGTCGCCTTTTATGAGTCAAGAGAAGATGGAGATGCTCATCAATGACAAGTTCCCTGTTTCATTCAAGGATAAAATGCAACGGTAAATCTGAAACGCCACCTAGTTAATAAAAGATTTTCACATAACTCTAAGGATTTCTTTCTTATAACTACTGCTTCAGAGTTTCAAGCAGAATGAGAAGACGGAAAATTTAAGACTCTTTTTTAAATAGGATAATTATGGTGCGTGTGAGGAATATAATGAAATTCGGTATAAACCTTCACAATTGATTCAATCAGATTCAGGTAATATCCACGAAATGTTGAGGATGACGTGAACCTTTGAAAGCTGTCCTTTTAGTACCAGGGGCGAACTTCAGATGACTGGCGCTAAAGTACTACATTGTTAAATAGATTCAAATTGTTGTGTTTATGCACTCGACCCATTTTTCGTATTTCAGTGTTACATTTGCCGTATGAAAGTTAACATTTTAATATTGTCATTAAACAATGAGAATCGCGCGCAGATGTCACATCCTGGGTGTTTTCCTTGATTACGTTAAAAAATATAAAAAATACATTAACGTTCTCAACAATAGGTTATTGCGTTTTCGGTACACCAAAGCCATTAATTTCAATTAGATTTTATTAGAACAACTTACACAGAATTCAAGTTTCCGGTAATTATCATTACTGGTACCTATGCCACAGTTTTCATGGGTAAGATTCCTCAGAATCGTAGGAGGGCTGGGGCTTGTATGAGGGCTGGGGCTGGTATGAGGGCTGGGGCTTGTATGAGGGCTGGGGCTGGTATGAGGGCTGGGGCTTGTATGAGGGCTGGGGCTTGTATGAGGGCTGGGGCTGGTATGAGGGCTGGGGCTTGTATGAGGGTTCGGGATAGTATGAGGGCTGGTATTGGGGCTTGAAGGTAACTGCTGGACCATACTCGTGGGGGTACTGGGCCTCGCCCTCATATCTGACCTCCGCCTTATACCCGTCGTCGTCCTCGGCAACATAATTCACCTGATACATTAAATTAGTGTTATTAGAGAAAACTTCTTTTACAGAAAATACTAATTATATGTCTTTAAAGTAAATTATTACTATGATAGTAATAACATATTAAATGAATTTGGGATTTGAAGGATCATTTCCCAAACAGAAACCATATCACATTTCATAATGAAGTTCCATTGTTTACTGAAATCTGATCTTCATTCTATATTAAATTAGTTATCTTACCGTCTGTTTGCGGCCGTCTGGGAGCTGGACGGTGTAGGAGCCTGAGACAGTGTCTCCATCAGATTGCTCGGTTTGACCAAAGTCATTGCCGGAGTAGTCGTCCTTGACGCCGTATTGGAAGTTGTATGGCATGCCTTCCTGAAGTGTATTATGGTATACCAGTGTTACATTTTTGAGGACCTCTTGGCAGAGTTTCCATCGTTGTGTACACACATTTTGTGAAATCAATTAATATAGATGAGTTTTGTGTTAAGCCTGAAAGTTTTGAGGTACCTGTTCGTAGCGTGGGTGATGTCCTGGTGGAGCGTAGCGATCATAATCGTCAGCGAGAGATTTCCCCACCATCACCATCACCACCACCAGTAACACACTGGGCTGAGGACCACAACACTCACCATTACTTGGTGACCCAGGATTATATTGATATATTGCAGTAAACTTCCACGATGTTAACACAATATTTTAATATAAAGTTGAACATAAACTGCGTTACCTTCGCGATCATGTTGACTACTGTTGTAGAGGCGGAGGAGTGAGTGATGTGGAGAGGATGCTGGTAAAGCTTTATATAGTGATAGTGAAGGTCGACCTTGACAGAGATAAGTGGAGGGGTCGGCACTGTGGGAGGAGGACCACAGGGAGCCGAGCTATAGAGAAGGAATTACTGGCGTTAGACAACACCGAGGATCCAGCCTATGTACATTGTTTGTTAAATTTATATTCATATTTAACCCGTGTTCATCCTTAACTTGCATAGATATTAAGAGTAGATGAAATTAATACTGTTAGCAGGAAACCTTTTGTGGGTTTTATTTTACTGCTTTATTTTACTAACATGCCTGAATTTTATTTTACTGTTTCTCAGCGCAGTTACTTCTACAGTGCCGCACTACTCTCCATCTACCTCCGTCAGGATCGACCTTCACCATCAATACATTAAGCTTTACCAGCATCCTATCCGCATCATTCCGCCGTGACAGTAGTCAACATGGTCGTTAAGGTATTGCATCTTCATGTTTAACTTTATATAAAAAAAAAAATTAACACTGAAGTTTACTTCTCTATCTCGATAATATTACGGGTCAAGAGGGTAAATAATTGTCCTCAGTCCAGTGTGTTCCTGGTGGTGATGGTGATGGTGGTGGTGGTGGTGGTGGTGATGGTGGGGGAGGCTCTCCCTGACGATTATGATCACTACGCTCCACCAGGACGTCACCCACGCTGCGAACTGGTACCTCAAAACTCTCAGGCTTATCATAACACAAACGTCAACTATATTAATGTCACAAAATGTATATACACAACGAAAAGAATTGCGCCAAAAAATGTAAATTTAACACTGTAATGTGTACCATAATACACTTCAGGAGGGCATGCCATACAACTTCCAGTACGGCGTCAAGGACGACTACTCCGGCAATGACTTTGGACAAAGCGAACAGTCTGACGGAGACACCGTCTCAGGCTCCTACACCGTCCAGCTCCCAGACGGCCACATACAAATGGTAAGATAACTAGCGTAATACGGAATGAAGGTCAAATTACCGTAAAGAATGGAACTGCGCTTTCAACAGTTCTATAATTAACTTTATTTGTAAAAATACCCTGCAAACGTCGTATTAATTTAATATATTGAATTTACCATAAGAACAGTAATTCGCTTTTAATACATTTTTTTATATAAAGTAATTTGTAACTAATAATACTTTTCTAAGCCATCAGATAAATTATGCTGCCGAGGACGACAACGGGTATAAGGCGGAGGTCAGGTATGAGGGTGAAGCCCAGTACCCCCACGAGTATGGTCCAGCAATCACCTTCAAGCTCCAGAACCAGCCCTCATTCTACCCTGAACCCTTATACAAGCCCCAGCCCCTCATACCAGCCCCAGCCCCTCATACCAGCCCCAGCCCTCATACCAGCCCCCAGCTCTCATACAAGCCCGGCCCTCATTCCGAAGAATCGAATTAGCGAAAACTGAGTCGCCGTTACTAGTAATGAATACTAAAATATATTTCATTAAAAACGGAGATTTGCTTCGTGTGTACATTTTTTTTTTAAATAAAGTATTAAGGCTCTTATAACATATAAGGCTCTTATATAATAAGTATTAAGTAAAGACTCCTATTCATATTTTTAAATGCAGTATAAATATTTAGCACTACACAATATGTGTCAAATGGGCAAACCCATATGCACGAGCCATAAAATATTTGAAGACAAATAATATCACGAGTTGCTTCGCAAATACGAATGGAAAATCTGCAACATAATTCTTGAGAACAGGACTTTATATATACATAATATCAATTAAATTCTTACATCGGTATTAGTTCTTGAAATGTGCATGAGGAGTTTCCACATTTTGTTTTTTTCTGACAAGATTGAGAAAAACGTAATATATATATATATATATATATATATATATATATATATATATATATATATATATATATATATATATATATATATATATATATATATGTTGTACCTAGTAGCCAGAACTCACTTCTCAGCCTACTATTCAAGGCCCGATTTGCCTAATAAGCCAAGTTTTCCTGAATTAATATATTTACTATAATTTTTTTCTTATGAAATGATAAAGCAACCCTTTTCTCTATGTATGAGGTCAATTTTTTTTATTGGAGTTAAAATTAACGTAGATATATGACCGAACCTAACCAACCCTACCTAACCTAACCTAACCTATATTTATAGGTAAGGTTAGGTTAGGTAGCCAAAAAAAGCTAGGTTAGGTTAGGTTAGGTAGGTTAGGTAGACGAAAAAACATTAATTCATGAAAACTTGGCTTATTAGGCAAATCGGGCCTTGAATAGTAGGCTGAGAAGGGCGTTCTGGCTATTAGGTACGACATATATATATATATATATATATATATATATATATATATATATATATATATATATATATATATATATATATATATATATATATGTCGTACCTAATAGCCAGAACGCACTTCTCAGCCTACTGAGAAGTATATATATATATATATATATATATATATATATATATATATATATATATATATATATATATATATATGTCGTACCTAATAGCCAGAACGCACTTCTCAGCCTACTATTCAAGGCCCGATTTGCCTAATAAGCCAAGTTTTCATGAATTAATGTTTTTTCGTCTACCTAACCTACCTAACCTAACCTAACCTAGCTTTTTTTGGCTACCTAACCTAACCTTACCTATAAATATAGGTTAGGTTAGGTTAGGTAGGGTTGGTTAGGTTCGGTCATATATCTACGTTAATTTTAACTCCAATAAAAAAAAATTGACCTCATACATAGAGAAAAGGGTTGCTTTATCATTTCATAAGAAAAAAATTATAGTAAATATATTAATTCAGGAAAACTTGGCTTATTAGGCAAATTGGGCCTTGAATAGTAGGCTGAGAAGTGAGTTCTGGCTACTAGGTACGACATATATATATATATATATATATATATATATATATATATATATATATATATATATATATATATATATATATATATATATATATATATATATGGGTGACGGAATAGCAACATAATCTTAAAATGAATTTTTATATACCCGTTACAAAGTCGTATAATAAGATTTATTATCGTATTAGGTAATAACAGCCAAAGTGCTGTGAAATCTTGGTAATTAGTGGGATCTATAAGCTTAAAATTCTCGTGAATATCTATTGTAATATACGTCTTATGACGTTAAGTACATTTTGAAGCAGTGAACGATTATACGCCATGTGGCGTAAGCCACAGGCTATGAGTTAAGCCAGGAATCATTAAGTAATACTAAATGGGTCAAGTACATAATGATGATTTCTAAGAACGCCTAAGAACTTAGGAAAAATGTAAACTGCATAAGGCCTATCGGCCTATGCGTAGCAGCTCCTATATTATATATATATATATATATATATATATATATATATATATATATATATATATATATATATATATATATATATATATATATGCATGCGTAATAGCCAGAACCGCACTTGCCTAACAGACCGAATGATTTTCGTTATTTTCAAATATTTTCTTTTGTAACAATAATATATTAAAAACATGAATTATAGACTTAATTATATTAGGTAAGGATAAGTTAGGTTAGTGTAGGATAGGTTAGGTTTAATAAAAATGTATATGAATCCATTCAATTAACCATCTAAATTAGTGGGACTGATTAAAATGCTTGTCTGTATTGTCTTGAGCGCAGGAGGGAGAGATACATACTAATTTACACGTGGAAAATAGTAGAGGGGCTGGTCCCAAACCTGCACACACAAATAACACTACATGAGACCAGGAGGCATGGCAGGATGTACAGAATATCCCCCCCGTTGAAGAACAGAGGTGCAATAGGTACTCTGAGAGAAAACTCTATCAACATCAGAGGCCCGAGACTGTTCAACACCCTTCCACTACAAATAAGGGGCATAACTGGCCGACCCCTCACAGTGTTCAAGAGAGAACTCGCTAAACACCTCCAAATGATACTTGATCAATCAGGCTGTGATTCATACGTCAGGCTGGAAGCAATAGGTTAGCGTCCAACAGTCTGGTTGCTGGTTGACCATTCCAGTGACCAGGAGACCTGGTCGGGGGACGTGGATCTCCGAAATCAACGCAACGTAACCGCACAGTAACCGCAAAGAACCCCCTTTACTTGACTCTATAGCGTCATCTATGATCGACCTCTATTCTTGCTCTGGCATTTGTCTATTGGCAATAATAATTCGTATAATCAACACCATCTACAATCACCCACGTCCCGGAGAAATCTTTGGAGCAGTGTGGTGGGATCTAACCTGCGTCCTAAGTTACCCTAAACCCGCGCCTTAACCCATGAACCACGATATATCTTAAAAGTTAAACAAGCTGAAATCCGCCCGAATCATCTAGGAATTTGGAGACACCGAGGTGGTACCCAATTAATTAATTTACATGTAACTCATACACACTGGTGAAGGACATGGAGTTTTCTTTCAAGAGGAGGGGTCCTCGTGAGGTTTTTTAGATGATTTCGGGGCTTAGCGTCCCCCGCGGGCCCGGTCCTCGACCAGGCCTCCTTTTTGTTACACACCCTTAGGAAGCAGCCCGTAGCAGCTGTCCAACTCCCAGGTACCTATTTACTGCTAGGTAACAGGGGCATCAGGGTGAAAGAAATCCTGCCCGTTTGTTTCTGGCTCGATCGGGGATCGAGCCGGAACCTCAAGACTATGAATCCGAAGCGCTCTTTACTCAGCTGTCAGGCCATATAAATTGTCTCCCGTCAAATGCACAATTTCTCATGAATCGATCCCAACCACTTGGGCTTGACGGTAGAGCGACGGTCTGGCTTCATGGAAGTCGGCGTTCAATCCCCGATCGTCCAAGTGATTGGGCACCATTCCTCACCCCTCCCCAACCCCGTCCCATCCCAAATCCGTATCCTAACCCTCTTCCAAGTGCTATATAGTGGTAATGGCTTGGCGCTTTCCCCCTGATAGTTCCCTTCCCTTCATGAATCGATCATATTTTGACTTGATTGTGCACCCATATCTACCTTGCGGTTACCTTGCGGTGATTCCGGGGGTCAGGGTCCCCGCGGTCCGGTCGCCGACCTGACCTCCAGGTTGCTAGACTGGTCAATCAGGCTGTTGGGCGTGGCTGCTCACAGCCTGACGTACGAGTCACAGCCTAGTTGATCAGGTTCAACCAGGTTGAACCTTACCAAGTTCTCTCTTTAACACTGTGAGGGGTCGGAAAGTTATGCCCCTTATGGGTGGTGGAAGGGTGTTGAACAGTCTCGGGCCTCTGATGTTGGTAGAGTTCTCTCTCAGAATACCTATTGCGCCTCTGCTCTTCAACGGGGGTATTCTGCACATCCTGCCATGCCTCCTGGTCTCATGGGGTGTTATTTCTGTGTGCAGGTTTGGGACCAGCCCCTCTAATATTTTTCACGTGCAAATTATTATGTATCTCTCACGCCTGTGCTCTAGGGAATACAAATTAAGGCTTTTGAGTCGGTTCTAGAATTTTAGATTGTTTATTGAATGGATTCTAGCAGTAAAGGATCTCTCGGCACGCTCCCCAGGTCAGCAATTTGTGTTCATCAATTATAAAATTCCTTAAAGTGTGTACAGTAGATCAATAATTGATATGTCGTTCCGTTTAATGATTACAAAACTTGAAGACGCGTGGTCGAACACACCGCTGGTATTTTTAACTATACGATTGTAAAACATTATCTGTTGAACTGAAGAGATCCCATTCTCACGGGAGATAATATTAGAGGGTGACATGGATATTTAGCTAGGAAATATCTGCCTATGAAACGACGGGCTATATCTATCAGGTATCACTTCCTAACACACTAATACTATTCACTGCTGGCCATACCTTTCATGTTAAAACGATGACACGTTAAATAAAACAAAACTGCATCAAAAAGAAAAATATCTGCGCTAGTATTTGTGGCATGACGCCTGTAGGTCTTTCCCTCTTCACAATTTGGCTCCCTGTGGTCCTCCTCCCACAGTGCTGATCCTCCACTTACCTCCGTCAAGGTCGACCTTCACTATCACTATATAAAGCTTTACCGTCATTCTCTCCACATCACTCACTCCTCCGCCTCGACAACAGAAGTCAACATGATGGCTAAGGTATGTCTCTCCTTGAAGTTTACCTTATGAACACATTATTACTTAAATCGTCTTAGTTTACTGCTATATCTTTATATAATTCCGTGTCACGAGGGTAAGTAATGGTGAGTGTTGTGGTCCTCAGCCCAGTGTGTTACTGGTGGTGGTGGTGATGGTGGGGGAGGCTCTCGCCGACGATTATGATCGCTACGCTCCACCAGGACATCACCCACGCTACGAACAGGTACCTCAAAACTCTCAGGCTTATCACAACACAAACTCCATTAAAACAATGTTGCAAATTTATAACGTGAAAATA